GTACATGTTCCTATCAGCCTTCTTCAGCGGCCCTTGATCTTAATCACTCAGTGCCTTCTTAATGGTCTTCCTCCTGTGTCACCTTCAATATTCCTTTAGAAAGCTCTCCCCTTGCTACTACCTCATCTACCAATCACTACACCCTTCTAGGACCCATCTTTTAGAGGACTTCTCAAGGACTGGGAATGGAGTTCAATTAGTAGACAGTATACACAAAGCCCTGGGTTCAATGCCCAGCACAGCCAAACTAGGAGTTGAGGTACAAAGCTATTTCCCCAGCACTCTGAAGGTGGAAGCAAGAATATCAGAAGTTCAAGGTCATTCTCCACTACCCAGTAAGTTTGAAGCCAGCCTAGAGTGCACAAGAACATGCCTCAAAACACACGCATACACACACAAGCATGCACACACGCATGCACGCACGTGAGCAATACCTTTTGAACACTTCAACTTTTCTCCCTATCTTCTCTCTAAAAGTCTTTAGTTAGTATTATTCAAGTGCCTGTTTCAAAATTATTTTGCAAGTGTTAGATGTAAGTTATCAACTAAATCACATCCTTCTTCAAGACGTTATAAACACTGTAGGCTACTCATGCTACTACAGCCTTGTACATATTAAGCACTCCATAAATATCTGCTGCGTGGCACAAAGAACATGATAAACTTAATGAATGAAATTTCAAAAATAAATTACTAGCGCCTGCTAGACTTAACAGATAAGTCTGTCAAATTCCATCTAACAAACTTAGAGACCACTGACACGTGGGTGAGCCCTGAAGCAGAACCAGGAAACGAGGGTCCGAGGAAAGCCTGGACTGGATGTGACCCTCCACACACCAGAAATGAGCCCTCCCTTTTCTTCAGAATACTGCAGCGCCAGCAGAGCTCCTGTCTGCTTAAGTCTACCAGGGTCATCTTTCTTTCCCTCTGGTCAGCTGTACCAATAGAAACACCAAAGCTACAAAGAGGTACAGGGCGAGAAATAACTGATTTGAAAAGTTAAATTTACAGCCAGGATACCCATGGCCTCCTAACAGAAACCTAAAGAATTCTGAAAAGCACCATAGCTGATACACCAGTGCATGCACGCTGTTAGTATCTGGCTGCCAGCATTTCCCATTTACACTTTGATTCCTAGAAGCCACTTTGTTTATTTAAAACAAAAAACAAAAAAACAAAAAAACCACCAATGCCAGGTGAGGTAACACGTGCCTATAACCCCAACACTCTGGAGGTTGGAGCAGGAGAATTTAACTGAATCTGCAAAGCCAGCCTGTGCTACAGAACAAGACCCTGCCCACCCCCCAAAACTGAAACGAAACGAACACATCTGGAGGTTATTTGCCCTCATCTTAACACCCAAAGAGTACCCAAACATGCAATACTGTTTCTAAATGGTACTTCTGCTCCTTAACTATGTAATGAGAACACACCGCTCAACTTTAGCCTCCTCACCTACCCTCTTATCTTCTATCATGAGACTCTTTGTAATCACACACTTGAACTTCAGGGCACAATTACTCAAGACAAGTGTCCCTGCAGAATATGCAACTACCTCAGCCAGTTTCGGCAGCTTATAACATGTGGGAGATGCCAAGTTGCCCTCTGAGCTTCCATCTTCTTAAATAAAAATCTAGCCATTGCAAAGAATAGGGAGGGAAGAAGGAAGGAAGGGAGGAAGGGAGGAAGGGAAGAAGGGAGGAAGGAAGGAAGGAAGGAAGGAAGGAAGGGAGGGAGGAAGGAAGGAAGGAAGGAAGGAAGGAAGGAGCGAGCCACCAAGAAGTTACTAAAGACAAAATCTTGGAGTCAGTGTTTCAGTGCACAACCTAAGTAGAATGTGATCTACCGTCTGCCTGAAATGGTTCTAAACTGGTGTTCTAAATTGTAAGCCTGACCGTCCAGGCCAGTATCTCTGGCTTCTTTATCATAACATCATACCAGGTGCCACCTTGACAATTCATGGCAAAGATTTTTCTCATTTATAAACGCAAGCATGTGTTCGGAGTAACTCTTGGTATCTGTGATCACTCTTAGCACGAACACACTCCTAGCACACATCTCTATCCAAGTTCATAGTTCCACTGCCCGCTTCCCTCATAAGCCTTCACATTTCTTGGTGATACTTCAGGAAACCTTGCAAGTTTAGTGCAGTGGACATCAGAGACTCGAGCAGTCATGACAAGTTTAGGTTCGGACCGTCCGATGTGGACACAGAGTGCTAACAGCCAATATATAGACACACTTACCCACCCCTAACCCCCACCAAAAAAGGCAAATATGGTCACTTTTATCTGTCATTGCATGGTTTTAAGAGATTTATTAACATGTTTTCTAAAAAGACAGAAATGAGCCTCTGAAAATGTGACCGAACAGAATATATAATACTAGAGAACTGCTAATTGACTGAGGAGAGACAATGGTGCTGTGGGGATTTCTTAAGCCATCTGAATCATTTATACACCAGAGCTTCATACAGAATTATTCACAGGTGCCATCACAGCAGGTCTGGAAGGTGAGAGGGAGCTCAGTGCACTACAGAAGCAGCAGATGTGAAATGCCAGTTGTTGAGCCGGCGTGTTGAATGCACTCAAGTTCTGCCATCCTGTCTACTTTCTCATGGGAATTTAAAATATGGGTTTTTTTTTTAAAAGTTAGACCCTTTATACCAATGCACCGCTACGTGTGTGAGTTTATGGTAAACACGAGAGTATCATGGCATTCAGCTAACCAAATTAACTTAGGTTTTAAGTCTAGAGAAGTAGTTGAGACGTCAACTGCAGCACAGAAAGAAATGGTATTCAAGGTACATTTTGAACTTGAGCTCCTTTAAAATTTTTAAAGCTTAAAAAAAACGGGAACAGGCATAATTTTCTGTCAAAAGATAAAGTCCAACAGTTACTTAAAACACAAAACAAATGCATAACTTACTTCCATCTCCACCTGGCCTTCAACAAGGATGATGAGCAGACAGAGGCCCCCTCTTGCTGGGTAAGAGGGGCCACCAGCAGGGCATGGCAACTACCCAGAGAGCAGAACCACTTCTAAGCAGCTTTTACAAGTTCTTTCCTTCAGCAACCACAGGCAGCCATGCCGTGCCAAAATCCAGGCAGCATTCTCTTAGGACACATGATGCCATTTCAATTCCCATTTCAAAACAAGAAGGAGGTCACACTGCAGGACCCATCCGCCTTTGCAAAGTTAAAAACCACAGCTATCATCATCCTAAATGGTGACACGCAACACTCAGAAGCCCAGAGATGACCAACTCTAAAACCAACGATTAACTCAAGTACCAGCATCAAAATCTCTGGTCACCACCAATACCACTGTCATCTCTGTCCCTTCCTTCCTCCCCATCCAGGATCTCCTGGCCGCTACCCGCCACCGTCACCCCAGCCACAAGCACTTTATGGAAGTGAACAACTCTGACAGGAAGACTGCTGTATTTTTAAAAATACTCAAACTTGAAATCCAAACACATCTCTAGAACCAACAACCTAAATCTGTAGTCAGTGCATGCAAGATCCAAGCTCTCATTAACAAAGCTTGCTTTGGCACCTCTGAAACAATACCACAATAACAGCCCAAAAATAAATAAATAAAGGGAAGGGAAAAGTTTCCTCAAACCATTATGTCAGGTGCAATGAAAGGCTAGAAACCAACTTCTATCTTGGTTGTGTGCTGGACCAACCCAACAGAATCTCAAAACCTCCTGTGTGTGATTGTGTGTGTCTTGAGGGTGGGGAAAGGGAGGTAGAGGGGGAAAGAAAGCAGTTAAATTTATATTTAAAAAAAAAAAAAAACAGCGACCAGTCCTAGCACCAAACCAGATTTTCCCAGGCACAGATAGTTTTCTGTGACCCCTGGACAGGCTCCCTCCAGCTCCTTCCATCCAACAAATACACAAACACACACACCCCAGGAACCTCTCAGCAGACAGGAAAATGTGCATTTGAAAAATCAAGGCTGCCTGCAGGTGCCTAAGGAATAAAGAAAGACACACAAACACATACACAAAGCAAAGCACTTGGGGGGGGGCACATACAAAAAAAAAAAGCAGAGGGACAATTGGTGACAAGCCCTCCGGCAGTCAGCTAGGATTTTATTCCTGCTTCCTACCAGTCCTCCCTGGTGTACCTTCTTCTGTCCTTCAACTAAATTGCTCATGTGTACACACACACACACACACACACACACCCCAACACACCACACGCAAATGTATGTGTGTGGACAATATTGTCATTAACCCTTTCTGCAATACAGCCCCATGCAAAATACAGAAAGATATTCCATCCTTTCCTCTTCTCCCCTCCTCCCTCTTTTCTCCCAACAAGGAGAAAACGCCCCCTTACCCAGCTTCACCAAAAAAGGGGAGGGGGTGCAGAAAAGCCACAAAACCCTATCAGCCTCTGGTCCCCAGGACATCCAGAAAAGGCATATACTAGACAGCCTCACACACACACGCGCGCGCGCGCGCACACACACACACACACACACACACACACACACACAAGCATGGGAACATATGGCTCTGTAGAAAGCACACAGAGAACCGTCCACAGGCGCCCCAAACCCAAGCAGAGACTTCCACCAGCCAAGAAGCCATGATTGGGGAGGGAGATGAGGAGGAAAGGAGTGGGGGCAGAGCCATCCGTGAAGAAGGGGGGCGCATTGTTGTGATGCCCGAACCCCTTTCTTTCCACCCATCTGCTGTGGAGGGAGGTGGGGGTGCAGAAGGGGGCGCAAGGGAAAGGCAAGCTGGACAAGAATGAAACCAGTAGAAGACCAGACCAGGCACACCGCTTGGCAATTCCCTCCTTGCTGCCTATCTGCCCCCAGCTTCCCCCACACACAACCCCACACCCAACAATAAGACCTCGGCCGAGACAGACAGCTTCGAGCGCGGCGGGGGAGGCAAGAAAACCGGGGTGCAGCCGAGTGGAGGGTGTCATGCATAAAAGGAAACCATGGGGGGAACGGGAAAGGGGGTCCCCCCTTACCTCCAGCGCTTCAAAAGTAACAAAGCTGGTCATGGCAAATCCATCAATGATGTCCTCTTCGGCTGAGGTGGACTCTCTGCGCTTCCTCCGCGGGGGTCTGGGCCGGGACGGGGCGGAGGATGGGGGCTTTCCATTGTCTTCCTTGTCGGAGCCCGACGATGAAGCCAGCGAGGGAGCCCGGGTCCGGCCGGTTCCTCCACCACCCGCAGCACCGGTTCCTAACCCGGCCCGGGAGCGTCTTTCCCGGTCTCGCTGTGATCGCGACCTCCGCTTTTTCCGGAGTCCATGTCCCCGCGTCGGGCCATCCATGGTTCTTTTAACCGCACCGGGGATCTTCCCCGTTTGCCTACCCGCGCGCCACAGGCTCGGGCCGCGGCCACACACACACACACACACACACACACACCCCAAGAAGAAAAAAATTGACACCGAACCCTTCCTCCTCCTGCACGGGCTTTTCCCTCCAGCCGCGAGGAAGGGCGCGGGGGAGAAGGAGGCTGGGAGGAATTAAAAAAAAAAAGCTGAAGCAGAAGAACAAGAAGGGAGGGCAGGGGGAAAAAAGAAAGAAAAAAAGGGGGAAGGGGCGGGGAGACGGGGAGGGAGGGACTGGGAAGCGAGAGGGCGAAGTGTGGGGCTCCCCTCTGCACCGAGGGTCGGAGATGCCTGCGAACAGCGCCGAGCAAAGTAATGGCTGAACACACAGGTCTCCTTTACAGAGGAAAGGGGGGAAAAAAATAACTCACCAAGCAGGCAATAAATCAGAATAGCGGAATGCTTTGATCAAGAGACTGGGGAAGCCCTCCCCGCGGCCATGCTCTCTCCCCACCACCGAAATCGCCTTGCTTCTCGCTTTCGCTAGAGACCCCTACCCCCAATTTAAAAAGAAAAAATAAAGAAACCCCGAGGTCCGAAAAGGTCACGGTGAAGTGAGGGGTGGGTGGCAATGAACTTCACCCGCCCCCTCGTGCAGGAAAACACCCCACACCTCCTCCTCTCACACACACGCCTCGCAGAAAAACTCACTCCCGGGCTCCCAATTCTTTTTTTAAGAAATGTATCCAGGGAAGCCAGGGCTGGGGAGCGAGCAGAAAGGGGCGAGACCCCCCAGAGAGGGGAGCATAACCATGCAATCACGAGCGGAGACAGAGCTTGCCGGGGGAAAGGAAGAAGGGAAGAAGGAGGACGCTAGAGCAGTTGTGGGATTTTTTTTCCTTGCCCTTTTTTTTCCGTCTTCGAGGTGGGGAGGAGGAGAAAAAGATGAAAGAAGAATTGCAAAGCCTGGCGCGTGCCACCGACCCCCTCCTCACATACACTGCACGCACGCACACACACACACAAATTGTAGGTTTCCCCCCAACCCCCAGTTCCAGAGGTCACCCTTCCTCCAAAAAAAATTATAAAGGAGGGGGGTGAGTCAGTCAATGAGGAAAGCAAAGAGCAGTCTCCAACCCGAGATACACCGGTGTGGTGCCGCCGCCGCCGCCTCTTCTTCTTCGCGTCGCCCCGCCTGAGGAAGAAGCGCTGGGAGATGCCGCTCGCTCGCTCGCTCGCTCGCTCGCAGCTAACGCTGCCACAGCCGCCGACGCCAGAGCCCCGAGCCCGAGGGTGCACGGCGTGTCCCTGGGCGGCTGCAGCCAGAGCCCGGGCACGGCCTCATCCTCCGCCCGCCTAGCTCACA